CGGCAAAAAGCGCCTGCCTGGCAAGCGCAAGGTCGTGAGTTCGGTTCCCGGTACCGGAGAAAAACTAAAAAAACAACAACAACAAAAAATAAATAAAAGTGTTGATCTGCCTCGATGCTTGAACACACCATAGCATACCTCTTGTTATATCCCTACAGTTTTGTTTCACTGAGTTCCACAGTACGGGACTCCTTCTTTGCTGGAATGTGGGGTTACTCCCCTAACCTCCTCCAGACATGCTCTGGCATAAATCTGACTGAAGGGTGAGAATAGATGGGCTGGGAATACTGATGTATCAACAAGAAATACAAGTGGTGTTTTCTCCAAACACCCCTGCCCTGTTTTCTTTAAGAGGAATTCATTTTTAGCTTATGAGCTAAATCCAATTTCCATTGCGGTGATACCAGATTTTTCACTTTGATTCATGCTGGATAAGGTTTAAGAGGGAAACTTTGGGTTTTCTCTCCCTGGTCTCCTCATGCAAGGAACTAAAGATTTATACTCTACCCACAAATCAGCTTAGATACCTTGCATTGCCCCTCATTTGTCGTCTGTTTACATGTTTATTAACCCAAAGTTCAACCAGGAAAAAAATCAGACTGTAGTACTGGGGTTCAGAAATGCCTATCATCTGGTACTTTTTTCATTTTAACATTGTTCTTTAATGAAGAGGTATTTATAAATACCGGACAAGGTGACAGGTTTATGGCATGTATTTTAATATGGATTTACTCCATTCCAGAAATGGAGAGAACATTGTGAGTTTCCATTTGGCATTATTCATTGGACTTATCAAACATTTATTGCCCACTTACTAGATCCAAACTCCTGAACAGGGATGTGGAGAGATGACAAGATTCCTTTAATGTAACAAAAGTGTCATACCATCAAATAAGCATATAATTAAGATTTTTGTTCTATACAGTTAAAGGATAAAACAGTTTTAGTCCTGTTTAATCTGTATCAGAGTCCTCTGTCCAGATGCTTGCTTCAAATAAACTTTGAACTATGTCCCAGCATCAACAAGCCACCACACCCAGTGGGCAAGTAAGAGAAATATTCACTTCTTCCATCCCATGTTAAGTCTAAGGAAAGTTTGATGAACAGTTGTGGTTTTTCGCCCTTGAAATTGGCCATTTGTCTTAGAGGCATAACAAAACAGCCATGCTGTTCTAAACCAGCTACCACAGCTGGGGGTGGGGGAATTCTCTAACATTAAAGAAGTCGAGGAACCCAGAAGGTACAGGTACAAATCAGACGAGTTTGGGATTGTACTGGTTGTTATTTTCTGTATTCCTTGTGCACAGGTATAGTGTTCAGGGAATGGTTATTGTTGAGTGGTGGGAGGACACTATCTTGGCTATTTAGGGGGAGTAATGTGACTTGAGACCTTTTCATAGGTATTCCAAGACTGAGGGATTTTTCCCACAGCAGGAAACGTTTCCAAAGCCTGCCATCTACGCTGCAGTAAAAGTGAATTTAAGTGAACTGAGGGTTCTGACAGTCCCAAGTACAAAGCATTTGTCCAGAAACCGTGCTCTTCCACTGGAAAATCATTTATCCTATGTTTAGTTGTATTTTCTGGACAAACATAGCACTGACTTTTCTAGAGATCCCAACCAAAGCCCAGATGTATGGCTGGCATAGTGTTTACCTGCAGCCACTGTGTACCTTGGACTGCATGATAAAAGATAAACAGCAAAGTGGAGGATGCCACTCTTCTACAAGGAAAGAGGTGGACATTTGTTAACCACTGATAGAGTAACCAGGCACAGTCCAAGTCTCAGGCAGAACAAATGGAGAGCCCTGAGACAGGATCTTGCTAAGTTTCTAAATTACCCAGGCCAGACTTGAACTTTCAACCCTCTTGCCTCAGCCTCCCAAGGCTGAAGGGATTACAGGCATTTAGTACCATGTCCCTCTCAAGCTATTTGATTTTTACATGCACCAGAGAAGAATCAGTGTAGTCTTCTTCAGGGTGAAATTTGAAGGAAAAAAAAAGATGGAAAAGTAGTATGAAATCAAAGAAAGGAAGAATGGAATGAAGAAATGAAAAGAATGATAGAGGGAAAATAATGGAAGGACAAAAGAAAGGCTCATTGAATGGAATGCCTAACCAGAGACTGCAAAGGGCCCCCGGGCCAGTTCTAGACTCACAACAAGAGCGAGCTAAGGAAGCCCCCACCAGGAAGACCCCCCCAGGCTTCACACTGTCCTTGAGAAGCCATTAGACCGCAGGGTGGTCTCTGGAAGCTCTGTTTACCCAGGGAATTGGCCTCCCTGAAGGCAATATCTGAGTCAGGAGCTGATTTCCATGGTTCTCACTGTGTCCCTGTAATAGAATAAGAATTCCTCTAACTGCCCTGCTTGGAGGAACCCAGAGAGGCTGGTATTAGGCCTTGTAAACCCCTCACCCTGCAGGGGGACAGACACTTTTTCCCTGGAACAAAGAGGCACAAATAGATTCCTGGTCTCGTGGAATCTGAGTAGCATACGCTCCCTGTGCTCTGCTGCTGAGCTTCTGTTTCATGTTCTATCTCAACATCTAAATCCTCCAAGAATGACTGTAAAACCTGCTTGTCGCTGAGAGGAATCTTGTCTCACTCACACAGCTCCACAGCCAGCGATAATGAATAGGTCAGCATAATTACCGTGTATCCTCACACAGGCAGCCAGCTGCTCTGCCAGATTGTGCATTCTTCATTTCCTTTATTTCAAAATCCAGGGTGTTCCTATGAAAACTTAATATCTGAACTGTGGCAAAAAAAGATTTGGAGTCAGTCCCTTCCCACTCATTTTTTTTCTCCAGTCTTACAGCAAGCTTCTCCTACCTCATTCCTGCTGGTCTCTGACGATGTTAAGATTCACTCATTTTCTCTGCTGAGACTCCTGGCTTGCCACAATTCCCAACATCAGTGGAAATGCCATCCCAGAAAGTCAGGTGCTGGGGGCTGGCGAGGAGCATTAACTAAAATGGCACAATTTGTCTTTAGCAGCAATAATACAAACTTAAAAATAACGTTCATGGTCTTCCCAGATACAAAAGAAGAATGCAATCACTTGGGCTTGGATCTGCGATCCTAGCATTTTACCAACATTGCAGGAAAAAGGTGTGGTAGAATCCATTCACCACTCAAGAACACAAAGAATTTCAGATCATCAAAACCAGGTGGTCGATCATGAAATTCAAGGGTTTTTTTGGTTTTTGTTTTCCATGAGAATGGCTTCTGTGGGAAACTTTCTCTCCCTCTCTCTCTCTCTCCCTCTCTCTCTCTCTCCATGCCCATGGAGGCACAAATTTCTGTCCATTCTTGCACCCATGTTCACTGTCAACCTCCTGGGAAGCACCTAGTGATTCCTGATTTCTTAGGCACACCTTTTTCCTTCCAATGTCATTTTTCCTTTTTATTTTTTTCTTTTTTTGGCTCTTTTCCTAAGCCACAGCTTGGTCTGTGTATGAGCATGTGTTGATGGGACCCTGAAAGAGCTGGGAAGACCCACAGTGGGATGCTTCTACTCTTGAAGGTGACAGTGGGAAGGGCACACATGGCCCCTCTTGGCCGTGTGGACACAGCGAGGAGGACTGTGGCGCACTATGAACTGTAATGTTCTGTGAGAGGTTAGGTATTCTGCAGAAGGTAGAGAAACGATTGAGCTTCCTTCCCTGAAGGCTTCCGGAGATGTTACTGCAACTCTCCTAGAACAGGAGCTTCCCAAATGCCCTTTCCCAGGAAAGCACATCCTGTATGGGATGTGGTTTGGGAGTCACTCCCTGCTGCTGTGTGAGCTGGACAGGCATGACGAGCACAGCGAGGACCGTGCTCAGAGGAGCCAGGAGGCAGCCCCAGAAGTGGCTCCAGTAGATGCCTGAGGAGTTCCAGCTGAGTGCCACGGGAGCAAGGACCTCCTAGGTAGAAGCCCTTGAAGGAAGTTCCAGAGGTCTCAAAGACTAGTCATGCTCAAGTCACCTCTTGACTCCTCATCACTTTTTAGAGACTTTGTCCAGGCTAGGAATCACAAGAGTGTGTTCCCACAAACTCTGTCTCTGTTAAGGGCGCTTGTGTTTGCTTTTTCTTTTTTTAATTCAAGGACAGTATCTCACTAAGTTGCTAAATTGCTTTGGTTGGACTCAAACTTGTAACTCTCCTGCTTCAGGCTCTGAGAGCGTTGGGTTATAGGTATGTCCCACCATGCCTGGCTGTGTATACTTTCCAAAGCTGCATAGGAGGCTGAGGAGATTTTGGGGTGCCCTTATCCCTCTATTCTAGTGGGACACAAGTGGTTTGTAAACGCATGACACAATTCCACATACTCATGCCTGTAGGAATACGTCAATTAAAAGCTTCAGACAAGTCCTATATGGCATAAAGGAAACTATGAGAAATTTTAAAGAATGGGATAAAGGGAAAGCTATAAATAAAACTCCTCCTTATGAACTCTGACTTGGGCATTTCAGCCCCCAAAGATAATTACTAGCATGTGGAAGTGTGTTTGTAAATGTCTTTACAAATATGCACATATATGTATATGCACAGAGATACAAGTATACATATGCACATGTTCATATGCACAGTTACACTTATAGATGCATATTCACAGATGTATACTGCACACTCAGAAACATGTATATGCATAAGTTTATGCATAGGCACATATACATATATACAGTAGTTAAGAGATATTGCACATACACTTTGCCATCTACCTTTTTTAGAACGTAAGTTTATGCAGTGAGTTTGCCTCATAGTAGTAGGAAGTCCTTGTAAATGTTTGTCATTGGCCATAGTCTTGTGGGCAGAGGGACCATTGTCCTCACTCCTCCTCCAGGAAATTTTTCCTTGGCTTCAGCTCTGCTGTCTTCCCGCTTTTTGCTTCCTGATCCTTGGGGTGGGGACTTGCCTTGGCTCTGTAGGGACAAGAGTCCCGAAGCTGGTCCCCTCGACGGTAAGGCGCACAGGTGCACACCTCACAGTTGCTCTGCTCTCTCCTCTCTCCCACAGTGCCCGGCTTCCCGTATCCAGCTGCCACCGCAGCAGCCGCCTATCGAGGGGCGCACCTGCGAGGCCGTGGCCGCGCCGTGTACAACACCTTCCGGGCCGCGGCGCCCCCGCCCCCGATCCCGGCCTATGGAGGGTAAGTGAGCCGCCCGGCACCAACCCCCACTCCACCCCAGGCACGGAGTGTTTGCGAGCATGATGATCCTGACCGATCCCCTCCTCCCCAGAACCACCCCAGCATGCAGCCCGACGCGCGCCTGCAGCGGAGCACCTTGCAAAGAGTATTGAAAAATGAGAGTAATTTGTCCTGTCATGGTTGGTGCCTTTAAGCATTCTACATGTCACATGGTGTTATGTAAATTCTCTTTGAGACTGAATGCTGGAGAACAGAGAAATGGTTACAGCCAAAGATGTATTTCTGATGATTGCAAACATCTGGTTATTAAGGAGGTTGGACCACATTTACCCCTTGAATTCAAAGGGACTTGAGGTTTTTCATACATAAAAATCACTGGGGTGGTCTTGCTCCCCTCCCCAAACACATCTTGCGCTCCCAGGTTTATGAGCCTCTGCCTGAGAAAATTAGGTGTTGAGTCAAATGTAAACATTTGAGAGTTTGATGAAACTGGAATTAATCTGCCTTTTAGTTGCAGTTTCCAAAGTAGCATGAGCTTCCTTTTTCCTCTGTTAGGAAAACGCAAATTGAATTGTCCCCTAATGCACATTGGGTCCTTCTGTGCCTGGGCTTTGATATTGCCAAGTGACTCTCAAGGAATAGTGGCAAATGCTGAGAAAAATAAAAAAGATACTGATTTAATGGAGATGATCTTGACATGTTACTCTGTCTACTCTTCTGTTAGGAATCTTTCAAGAAAGTGTTTGCATCCCTGGGATCAGGAAGGGAGAGAAGCCGTTAAAATAGTAGCCCCCTAGGCTGAGGGACATTTGTGAAGTCTAAGGACATTTTTGGCTGCCATGGTAGGAAATGAGAAGACGCAATAACAACTAGTGGGTACAGTCCAAGGACACTACTGAGCACCCTACAATTCACAGGACAGTCCCTCCCCCACAGAATTACCAGGCTGCTGAGGAGAAACCTCACTGTCTGGAAAACTCAGTTCTCCCCAAGAAAGCCTGGTACACACAAGGGCTCCCTGCCCAGTGACTTACTTTCCAGTCTGTGGAAAAAGTATGGTTGCATTTAGGACTGTGTGAAGTGGGTTAAATGCATTTTCTTAAAAGCTTTGCTGCTTATAAATCTTTTAGGAAATCTGAATTAGCCTAGATCATCTCTCTATTATGCTGAGGACAAAGGGAAATAAGATTGTTTTCATTATTTATTCATATAGCACCCGTTCCAAAATAGAGCACTTGAAGTGTTTCAAAAATAAAGACAATGAAGCAACACTGAGAGTACAGGGAAATGAAACCAGATGAAATCAGAAAAAGATGTTAAAGGCAAAGGAATAAGACAATGCCCATGAGCTTTCTTGTATAGAGTTGGGTTGACAAACATTGTGGCTAATAGGAAACAAAATCCAATGGCCCTGAATTTTCTCTGCTCCCCCACCAATGTGTCTGTATGCCTTAAGCCTCACATGTCTGACTATGTGATACAGCAAATCACTGATTGCATAATCTTCATCTCAACCCCCAGAATATTGAGCCCATTCTATAGATCCACAGTGCAGAAATAAAGATTTGTGATTCCCAAAGTTACACCACGAGTTATGAAAGGAAAAATGTAAGTTACTCTCTTGGCTCATGTAAGTTACTAAAAGCAAGATTCATAAGCCATAAATGCAAAATTGCATGTTTATACCATATTATTTTGTCTGAAAATTGATATCTTATCTAGGTGCACAGTAATTGTAGTTTTTCTGTTACATATATACACACTTAGTACCTGAGAACTGTATTGAACAGAGAAAATAATAAAGTAAAATTATATAGCTTATCCTCACATGAACAGTTTATAAAAATCTCAACATAACACACCTGCTATAAAATTGAAATTTACTAACTCATAATGAATGTGCTCTTCACCAGGATAACCATGCATAACTAATTAATGCCACATCCACCAGGGAGACACACAACCATTTCTAAATGGTGTGAAGTGTGTTTGAGACTACTTGGGATAGGATGCAATTTTAATGTTCCAGTATTATTCTTCATCAGCTGAGTTAAAATGGTGGATTGTGCCTCTTTGCTAATAGTACTAGGGGTGGAATCTCACATGATACTGACATGATAGAATTCTCGACAGACTACTAGGAGGAGGGGCAGAAGGACTTGTGTTGCGGGGGGAACCCTTGTCTGCAAAAGTCTACAAAAACAAGTTGGTGGCCCAAAAGAAGAAAATTCAGCCGGTCTAGAGATTGTGTGGATGTCCATTCCTTCGGAGGAACATTTGCATGTTTCACTTACATCTTTAATGCAGCCCAGTTCAGCTGACAATCCCACACTCCATACCTGTCATGTTTTGAGCTCTGCTGTGCACCAAAGATAAAGAGACCTGGGCCAGGGATATAGTTCAGTGACACAAGCACCCACCTAGCAAGCACAAGGTCATGAGTTCGATTCCTGGCACCAAAAATTTAAAAAAAATAAAGAGACCAATGGAATTTTTTCTGGCTGGGCCAGGAAGAAAATATATGCTAATAATTTTTTTAAAATGTGATAGGTGATACTGTAGGATGTGAGCACCAAGGAAGGGTCCTTATCACAGTGGGATTTTATACCAGATATGCCAAAAGTAAAGAAGGGATATGGTCAAAGGCAACTGCTTCCAAAATTGCTAAGATAAAGCCTTGCCCAGGAATGCTACCCCACACCCAGCAATCACTATCTTTTGGAAAGACATCATCTAGCAAACCACAATTATTAAAGAAGAATTTATTTTTCTTATCGTCACCCATTAAAGACATATCTGCCAACCTATTCTTTGTGAAGTATCCAGAGGAAGCTAGGTTGTTACTTAAACTCCAGCCAAAAATATGCCATGTATCCTAGATCCAAGTGTGGCTTCAATATTTTTCTTCCTCGGGGAGATTTAAAAATCATATTCCGCAGAACCCCATGGCTATCTTTTTGGAGCTTTGGATAAGCCTTGGCAGTATCCATCATCACAATAGTCACACACCAAATTCACTAAGGATGGCCTTATTTTCATCTATCCCCTGCCCTCCCAGCAGGTAAAGAACATAGGTTAAAAAGAGATCCTATTCTATTGTGTGTTACACCCCTAAATAGAAAATTCTTGGGACATCAGGATGTGATCATTGTTCCTGAGGCAGAGACTTTGCAAGGGGTCAGAGAGGGATCATAGCGACAAGTGAAAAAACCCTAGACCTAGTCAGCCAGTGTTGGCTAAACGGAACTCGTGTTGAGCTAGGAAGCAGTGTCTACAGGATTTTTAACAGTCCTTGAAAGACACTTGCAAAGGCCTTGGATAGCTTAACCTCTGTGGACACCATTTCCTTAACCTCTGTGGACGCCTACCCCATAGGGCTGATAGTTGGTGACATAGGAAAGTCAACATACAGTTACAACTTAGTAAACCCCGTGCCCTGAAGTGTGTTTAGTGAACTGCAGCTGTCTTGTTGAAGCTGATGTAATTATTGACATTTTTATGAGCAGCACCCATTCCTTCTCAGTGTTTCCTATTGCTTGTGTTGAACACACAAAGCAGACCCTATGTTTGTCCCTCCATGGATTATCTACCTTTTTCGGGGGATACCTACTATTTACCAATCTCCATGACTCCTAAGCCACAGACATGTTTTAGATAGAGAGATTTCAATTGTTTATAATTTTTTTGTACTAGAAACTGAACTCAAGACCTTGTGCTTGTCAGGCAGGCGCTGTGCCACTGAGCTATATCCCCAGTCCTTGTTTATACATTATATACATTATAAATAAGGTTTCAACTAGCAAACAATCTGAAAGAATCGAATGGACAAGGTTTTCCATGCTTCTCTGTGCATTTGGTCCTAGACTCAGGTTTATGGAGAAGTCTCAATGTTTGTTGTATCTTCCTAGGACTCCTCTGGGGAAAAACAGCCTTTTAATAACCACCATTAAAAGGAAATTGTATGGAGGCTGCTAACCAGTAGGTCCAGGTGGAGGTAGAAGCATTGAAGACACTTCAGCAGTATATGACATCAGAAAGAAACCGCTTGGCCTGAGCCACCTCCCAGAGCAAGTCCAGGAGATTAGACCAAGTTCCTGCTCTTAATTATTACATAGCTTTGTATCAAGTGCCTACCATATACCATGCTTAGTGCATGGGAATGTGCTCTAATGAAGTGTCGCGAAAGATGCTCTTTTTAACTCTAAGCACCCAACATTAGGGTATCTTTCAGTAAGATATTTTGCACTTTCATAGGTAATTAATTGTGACAGTTCTACACACATATAACTTTGCAGAGGTCTTTGCAAAGTATTTTTTTATTTTAAAGATTAAAAAAGAAACTAACAAAACAACAATGAAGACAAAATCAAAGCAACAGAAAAGCAATGCAAATGATACATGTCTTCAAAATAAAATGATAGGAATTTTTGAGGATACTCTGTGTCACTTTGTGCGTAAGAAAGATCTGGTAGAATCCCAAGAGAAAACTACTTACATTTGCCCAGTGCAAGAATGACACCCACAAATAGATTCTTTGGGAAAGTTTTCATACTAGTTCTCAGACTAGATTCTAAAAAGCCTCTGCACAGCCCCTGCCTGTCAAGCACAAGGTCCTGAGTTCAATCAGTACCCAAAAAAACCTCTCCCCAAAACAAATAAAAAGCCTCTGACACCAATCTCTAAGACAATGTGGGAGTATTACTCTGTGTATGCCAGCCATATTTTCTGTTTGTATTTTCTAAATGTCTAATCTTCAACCTGTATTATGTAAACTTAGGAAATTTTTTTTCATTTAATCTAAATGCTAAAGTTTAAGGTTAATTATCCCATTCTCATAATACTTCCCAAAATTCTGTCCAGTTTTTTTTGGGGGGGGGTGGGGTGGCATAATTTCTTACTCAAGTTTTTAGCCCATTTTTTGTTTTGTTTTTAACTAGGGATAGCACCCAGGGCTTTCTCACTGAGTCACATTCCTAGCCCCTTTTTCCTTTTCTTTCTTT